TTGAACAGCTCTGCTACTTTTTTTGCATCTGTGCAGCAGGCTGACAGTTGTGATGCTAAGTCAATTATTGTATCGTGCTCGCTGACAAATGGCTCGCCTGGTTTGGTTGTTTGGATCTTGTAGAGACAATCTACTGGTTGATAGAAGTTTGGGTCACTTTCCAGGAGAATTTCAGTTATTCTATTCTCTTTGACGCTTGGGGATAATGTTTGATGTATACTTGTTAATGAGTTTTCAGTTGGAGAGAGGTTGGGGGAACTTGCAAAGTTTCCAATTAAAGGTTCCTCATGTGGCCACTCTATCTCATTTAGGAGGTTGTCTTTACTTGTTTGGTCAGGGATCTGAATTTGCTGGGCTACTTTGCTAAGGGGTATGTTTCCTTGAATGTTGGCTAGCTCTTCCTGTACCTGATGGTTGAATTCTACTAAGGAGCTTGAATTTCCTATAGAATTTGGTTGGTCCCATGATATCATTAATATGTCATTGTCAGAACAAGGACTGGTGGGTCTAATTGTACTTCCTGATTTGTCATGATTGTCGCTGGTTGTGATTGCATGGTGATGATCATCCACTTGCATTATATCACTTGAGCTGTGAAGATCATTGTTATTTGGTGATACGGCACCTGTTACGCTTAATATGCATGAGCTTTCAAGTGCTACAGGAGGTGCATTTGCATTGCTGCTAATTATGGCTATATTTTGAGTGCTCGTATTAAGCTGATCATTTGATGGGGGTAAGCTGTTTGGGGTTTTTTGGGGGATTTGAGATGTGGTTTTTTTTATTTTCAAGATTGTTTGAGAAGTCTGTTTTTTGTCTTCAAGTTCTTTGTCCTGGACCAATGTGTTAGGTGGGGTGTGGGTTGGTGCGTTTTGAATTTTGTCAAGACTGAATTTACTTCCATTGTTAGTTATATTGACTTGATTCTAGGACAAGTGAAAGGTGTAGTTTAAGTTGCTTTCTAACACCTTCCTGGCGATGGTTTCCCTTATGCTTTGGACAAGATTATTTCTCTCCTGATATTGAAAAAAGTCATTAAGGTTGTTTTGGGTGTTACTTTTCATGTTATTAATGGTTAGTATTGCCATTGTATGTGTGTGTGGAGAGTTGAGGCCAGCTGTCACTTGTTTGAAGGCAATGAAGGCAATGTCCACTGGTAAAGGGTCGCTGGTAGTATTTGGGTTGCTATTAACAGTTGGGTTTTGTAAAGGAATGATCCAGAATTTGGGGAAGTTGGCTAGGGTTGGAATGGATACATTTTTTGCTGGTTCAGTGATTTGAATAGTGTTTAAGTTGTTTTCCTTGTATACTACAGAAAAGAGACGTTCATTTGGATTTGCTATCACGATATTCAAAAGAATATGAGGAGAGTTTGGAGGTTTGCCCTTGGGAGAAGAGCTCCCAGGAGCACTTGTTGTTTTGCTTCTCTTTAGAATTTTGTTAGTTACTAAAAAAGAAAATTTTTAAGCGATACAAAATTTTTGGGAAAGAGTATTATACTAACTATTAAATATTATTGATAAAGTTTTCAATTTATTATAAGAAAATAAGCATGTTTTTTAAACAATTAATATTAATATCAGTTTTTTTTTCAAATAATATTTCAAGAAATTAATTTTTAATAACACTATTATATTCAATTTTATAAAAATAATCTAGTTATTAATAATTTAAAAATAAAACTTATTAATTCTTACTTGGCTTCTGGTAATATTATACTTGTGATATTTAAGATTATTTAATGAAGTTTATAATACAACACTTAAAATTAGAAACAACAAGAAAATTTTTTAATTAGTATCAATATACAGTATTTTAAAAAAATAGTTAAAATTAACTTTTTTTTTAATTTATAAATTAAATCAAGTTATGAAACAAAGATTAATATAATAGAATTGGTATATATCAAATCAAAATTTAAACCAAAATTATTTAATGAAACAATCTTCTATTTTATTTTTGAGAAAATTTCTTAATCAATAACATATATTTGGGTAGTAGTGTCAAATAGTACAAAAAAATCTTTAGCATTATCAAAAATTATATAATTTATGAAAGCTTTTCAACCTTTCAAACCTTTGGATAATGTTACACTTCATACAACCTAAAAGTTATTAATTAATTCAATAAAAATATTTAAAAAATATATAATAATAACTTAAAAATTAAAATTAAAATTTTTTTATATTTTATTAAATTTAATTAATTAATATAAATTTGTTAAGATTACTTTTTAATTACTTTTGTCTTTTTACAAAGTAATATATTAAAATAATTATAAACATAATAATTTATTTAGTTATTTATTATAATTTAATTAAATTAGTATATTTTTTGGAAAAAAATTTTTTTAATATAAAAAAATTAATTTAATAAATATTTAAATATTTAGTTTATTATATTATATTATTTATTAAATTACAAATTTATATTTTATTTATTTATTTTTTATAAAAAATTTTTTTGATTTTTTAAATTAAAATTTTACATTGAGATTTCAAAAATTTCTTAAGTAATATATTAATTATAATTATATAAATACAGTATATAAACTTATAATAATTAATTAGTGAATTTTTTGTTTATGGATAAAATAGTAAACCAATTTTTCCAAAAGAAGATGTAACATGTTATACATTACACTGTGTGTTGTTAAATTTCTAAAAAGATTCTTATAAAATATTGAATAATTATTAAAAATTTTAAATCGGTTTATTTGTAACCCGTCCGGTGATTTTTACATTCACCTCCGTTTCAAAAGGGAAAAAATTCCAACACACGGTTACCTCCAGCATATAATAAGTATTTATTTATTAAGCAGGTATTTTCAGGTTTTTTCGAGGTAAAAGAAATCAATTTGATATAGTTTTTCCGCTATTGTGTGAATCAAGTATGATTTTGGAAAATTTTTAGCGCGCATTGAGAATAGAATAACAATGCCTTCGCTCTACATTATTAATCCATTTCCTTTAATTACCGCATGCATGATTCGGTCCTTTGATAAAAATGAATCGTTCTTTAAATCGAAACCAGTGTCACTAACCCTCTCTTTGTAGGAGATAAGAGCTATGAAAGAGGAATTCAAAAGTTTCAGGTCTCGATCTTATAAACCTGTTTGTATTCCTGTTTTAAGACTCTCCTTTCTAGACAATGTTTATTACGGTAATATTTTAGTTAAAACAATGGTTTCCTTATTTATGATAATACTCGCTGACAATGTGTCAGATGAATTACAAAACTAAAGTTGGAAATCCAAAGCGCGAATACATAATAATTATTACCATATTTGCACGCCAGGAGTATAACGCCATATTCACAAATTTTGCAGTACAGATTTAGAAACCGTAAACATATAATTTCTGTCATTTTGGTCTATCGAAAGAAGGAAATCTCTTAATTTTTCTTAAATATAATTTAATATTTGTTTTCAAAATTAATAATGCACGAATTGCATTACCTAGATACTAAAGATCATTGCATTCGGTAATACTTACACCCGATACGAATTGCTTGTTTCTTGCTTCCTTTCACGTTCAGATGCGTAATATCACAATAGCTAGGAAGTGAATAAGAACCTAAGTTTATAGCGCCTTTCCAGGAATGCCGTTATAGAGAACATGAAGGTTAGTACTACGTTTGACAAGTTTAAGTCTCGGTTTCTTCACACAAACTTCCGAAAAAAAAACAAATCGAATATGTTAAGCTTCTTTTCAACAAAACAAGAAATCTTGCAGAGATATAATGCGCGCATATACAGTACATCGATAATTCTTAGCATACAAAGAACACGGTTTTTTTTTAAAAAAAATAAAATTTAAATCACAAATCCCGAAAAACACAGCTTTTTTCAAACTTTAATCGAGAAAGTTGAGTAATTTGATTTCGGACATGTTTGCATGTGATCAAGATATAACTGATTGGCTTGCCTCTTGGCACCGTGAATTTCAAAGGCACAGAGATTTTTTTGATAGTTTGCTGGGTTCACTAAAAGAATACTTTTATGGGGCTATAGATGTATGACAGTCGTTGATCATCACGTATTCGATATTTCTACGTACATACAGTCATGTGAAAACTTTATAATTTGTAAAAAAAAAAAAAAAAAGAATTTTTAAAAGAATTAAGAATTAAAAAATATTGGTAGTTGTTAAATGACTTTAATATTCGGCATAGAACATTAAAATCTATTTTGCTAATAACGAAAAAATTTCTATTTTTTTAAAACAATTTTCCAGACCTTACCATTGAATCTGATTATACTGTATTATAAGCTTTATATTTTTAATTAAAAATTAGATAACATAAATGTTTTTTCTAACGTTTAAACAATAATACCAAAATTGATTTTAATTTTTAATTTGTAAAATTAATTTCTAAAAGCATCAACTTATTATAACATAACATTCACCTTATTTAATAAATCATACAAGTGCCGAATGTTTTTAATAAAAAATTTTTTAAATCAACGTCAATTATTGAATCATAAATCAATTTTTTTGAAAAATTTAATTACGTATTTAATAATTTTATAAAAAAAATAATATATTAAATTATTAATATGTTTTAAAATAGAAATTTTGATTTGATTTTGATTTGAAGCATTTTTTGTAATATAATAAATTTCAATTATAATTCAAATTTTAATGTAACTAAAAAATTTTTACAATTCAAAAATATATTATAATTATTAATATATTAAAACTATAAAAAGTATATTAATTAAAATTTATTTTATTAATAATATTACTTATCAATTATTTAATTATTTAATTATATTATTGCATTTATTAATATATTATTTATATCTGATATATTACTTACAATATATTTTTATTATATTTTTTGCTTTTAATAATATATAAAAATACAAACCTTTTTGAAATAAAAATTTATAAAAAAAAACTCTTTCCTGATCGTACCAAAACTACTAAATTAGGAAATACTCAAGAAAACAAAAATTTCGTCTCAAGGGAAAAACAAGGAGGAGGGAGGCCCTCCTCCCAAACCTCCCAACCCAAATC